GATTATTTTAATAATCGATTAGTCGTCGATTAATCGATTAATCGTGGCAGCCCTAGTGGGAACTACACAAGTTCCTTGGTGAAGAATTACTACAACTCTGAACAGAAATAAATGAGACATTACAGATGCTTGTGGAAATGATGCTGCATTTAATGTGTTCCATAATCAAAGCTAACTGCAGTCCAGCGAAAAGTTTTTGGGCTGGGTAGTGTACATGGTTTGTGTTTAATTTGTCTTTTTGTGTCTTTTTGTCTCCTTTTGCATCCTTTTTGTACCTTTTTGTGTTCCGCATCTTTGTATCTCTGTTTCTGTGTCCTTTCTGTTTTTTACGTCTTCTTATGATTCCTTTATTTTTTGGTCATTTTATTCGTTCATTTTGTATTTTGATTTTATGCGTTTTTCTTTTTGTGTTTCTTGGTGTTTTCCTACAAGCCTGTCAGGATTTGTTTTCTTATCAGGTTTGTGTTTGTTGCAGAGGAGAGAAGTATATGGGCATGTGGCAGGAGCACCAGAGGCAAGGCACTGGGGTCGTGGTCACCCAGTTTGGGCTTTACTACGAAGGAGCGTTTAAAGACAATAAGATGATGGTGGGAACTTTTTAAAGGTCTTTAAAAAATGTCGTTTGGATTTAATAAGATCATAAACCACCAAAATCCTGTTCCTTGACCTTTGTCTTTACTGAGAAAAAAGCTGTAAAGTGGATGAAAGTTGTGTAAATGTTTTCTATAGCTTTTGGTTTTCTAAATATTTTATTTATTAATAGTTAGGTTGAAAAAAGTAAGTTTCACATGGTGATCTCACAAGGATGCTCCACATGCAGAACATCACCTGTGAAAGCAGCCAGTTTGAAATGTCTGGTGTTTTCAGGGGACGGGCGTTCTCCTGTCGGAGGACGATACGACCTATGAGGGGGATTTCTCAGATGATTGGACCCTCAGTGGAAAGGTGACTGATTTGCACTGAGAAAGCATCTTGGATGTCCTCTTCAGTGACTGAATTCACTGATTCTCCCCCTCAGGGTGTTCTGACCATGGCCAATGGTGACTACCTGGAGGGCTCGTTCAGCGGTGAGTGGGGGTCCGGCCTGAAAGTGACAGGTTCCTACTTTAAACCCCACCTGTTTGACTTCGACAAGGACAAGACTCAGGCTGTGTAAGCTCACAAAATGTCTGATGTCCACACGAATGCCTTTTTGGTTTTTATTTGTTGAAGGGTTGTTTTGTATATATATATTTTTTAATTTGTGACGAACAGGAAGTTGGGTCGCCTGTGTGTGTCTGCGGAGGACAAGTGGCAGGCTGTGTTCGAGGAGTGCTGGAGCCAGCTGGGCTGCGAGGCGCCGGGTCGAGGGGAGAATCAGACAGCTTGGGAGAGCATCTCCCTGGCGCTCACCAGCAGCCGGCAGCACATGCAGGACAGGTCCGATCAGACGGTTCTAATCTGAAACACCGTGTAGAGTTTGTCTCCACAACACCAGCTTGTAATGTTTATCTGCTTCTCAGTCCAGAGACGCTGTCTCGAAGTCGCAGCAAAACTCTGGAGAGTCTGGAGATCATCCCTCAACACGAGGGACCAATCACCATGGAGAGATATCACACCATCCGCCTCTACCTCCTCAAGGTGGGCTCAACACATGGAAACTTTTGATTTAGTGCTTCCTTTAAGTGTCCGACGCCTCTCAGTGCTCAACATGTCTCACATGGACAGGAGGCACGTTATTGAAAAATAACCAGTTTTTATATCAATTCAGGGATTGTTTTCTGAAGGTTTTGTTAAATCTGGTTCATTAGATGTTTTGTTAACAGCCAATAAGCTCTTTCAGAAGACACGAGAGCTGAATGGTTGAACACTGACAGATATGCTCTCTAAAGAATCGCAGGAAAAAAACTCATCTGTGTTGCTGTCACTCAAACCTATGAGAGCAGCAGGAGTCACAGAATGACTCTTATTTCCCTTCTCAGGGTTCCTGCAGATCCTTAAAAAGTCTTAAAAGGCATTGAATTCATTGATCCACAAATAAGACCTTAATTAGCCTTAAAATGTCTTAAATCAATCTTTCAGAAGTCTTAAAAATGTTAACACATTGTAAATAGGATGATTGTAATTCATCTCAAATATTAAAATAATTGGTAAAAATTATTTTTTAAAATATTCACATGCAGATATTCCCCTTTGACATCACTTCCTGTTATTTCACATGCAAATATCTCGACAACCGTTCATCTCAGCATTGTGAAATTTGTTTTGTAATATGTTAATGTTTTCCAAAAATGGGTTCACTTTTCTTACAAAAACGTGATGTCACAGACACTTTAAGATTGCATCTACAGAGTATTGGGGTTAGACCTCACTGTGGGTCCTAAAACTCCAAATTTTGGGTCGTTAGGGGATTTCCAGAAATTAAATTAAGTTTAAAACCAACAGCTAAGAACGTTTCTGCTATAGTTAGATATGGATAAAAACAATTGGTCTATTAGCAATATTTGAATATTTCAACCAAAAATACTTTGATTCATGAGTTTCTGCCAGTTTTTATTTATTTATTTTTTTGTCATTTGTTTGTTTATTATGAAATTGGTCTTAAATTTAATTTCACTTGGCATTAAAAAGTCTTAAAAAGTCTCACATTTAACTTGCTTTAAACTGTAGGAACCCTGCTTATTGTGCCTGACAGATCAATGTACAGCCAAATATGTCTTTTTAGAGTTTTAAGTTTCAGAATAACCTGACTCTTATCACAGATGCATCTGCTCTTCTGCATGCTTTTAGCCAGTCTCTGTAGCGATAAAGTTATATTTATTTCCTCCTCTGTACATAGAGCAAGTAGGTTGCGGGTCTCAAGGAAAAAATAAATAAATAAATAAAACATTACGGAAGTTTAAGTGAAACAAGTCAAATTACGGTGTTTTGGATTAAGAAACCTGCAGCTGAGTGGTTGAGACGTCACGCTACCGACCCACCTTTTCACAAGTTGATAATTACAGATCTGTTACTACCTCGCTAGGAGGTCCAGAGGTGGAGTGTTTCAGACCCCGCCTCTGTGCCTCTTCTGATTGGACCTAGGTGGTCAGTAACATCCTAACATCACCTGCCTGCCTGTAGGCTGCCGTCTACAGCCTTAAGTTAGTCATGTTTCAGCCTACGAGGAAAAATTGATTGCTGCTTTTAATTCATCATTTTGTTGTAAAATAACTGATCTAAACCTGTGAATCTATATAAAGATTACAAAGTGAGACAAACAAAAGGACAGTTTCAGAATCAACCATACAATTTAAACTGTTTTGTACATATTGATATAAAAAACATAATTTTTGTATTTAAATTGGTCTAAATGGTCGATTTATTTATTTATTAATTTATTTATTTTATGACATTTTTTTTCCAGTAATAAAAAATAGGTTTTGTCTTAAGAGGTATGTTACGTAAATACATTACATATTTTTTTAACAGAGTAAAAATATGATAATCTGTAATTTCAGGTGTAAATGAAGAGACATTTAAACGATCCCTGGATTTTCAGTGCAGGTTGGACTGAAAGAATTTCCTCCCTCACTTTTAGGCATGTGACACACCCCTCCACCCGCTGGGCCGGCTGGTAGAGACCCTGGTGGCCGTTTATAGGATGACGTACGTTGGCGTCGGAGCGAATCGCCGGCTGCTGCAGCAGGCGGTCAAAGAGATCAAGTCCTACCTGAACCGAATCTTCCAGATCGTCAGGTCTGTGTTTGATTTATAAGTCCTAGAGGTAATTGTAGCGTCTGCTGCTAACGGGGCTAAAAGTTGAATCTGAAACTCTTTGCAGGTTTCTGTTCCCAGACCTGCCAGAAGAGGGCGGTCTAATCCCTGAGCCCACAGAAAACCTGCAGGACTCGATGCTGCTGAGCGCCGATGCCTCGATGGATCCACCTAGACCCAGGTACAGACGGAGATACGAGCTGAGCGCTCGCAGCTGAAGCAGATCACTCACATCCATCTGTTTGTGTTTCAGTCGCGTGGTGAGCAGCTCCGCTCTGCTGCTTCCTGTCCTGCTGCCTCGTCTCTACCCGCCGCTCTTCACCCTCTACGCTCTGGAGAAGGAGAAGGAGGACGACGTGTACTGGGAGTGTGTCCTCCGCCTCAACAAGCAGCCAGACCTGGCCCTGTTGGCCTTCCTGGGTGTCCAGCAGTACGTCTCACTCTGTAGATCCAAGGAAGAGTCAAATCTGTCCACTTATTTCTGATGTTTGTGTCTCTTTCAGGAAGTTTTGGCCCATTTCTATCCCCGCCACTTTGCCAGCTTTAGGGAGAAATCAGCAGGTAATGTTTTGTTTGTTAGTAGAACTTTCAGATCTTGAACTGAATAAATATAGATCATCCTTTTAAGAATGATTTGTGTGATGTTCTGCAGGTCATCTCCAGCATCAAAGAAGTCTGCTTCGCCTCTGCAGTGGAAACTCTGCAGCAGATCAGGTCCATCTCTTCAAAACTAACCACAGTTCATGAGCGCTGAAGCACTGACTGCTGAAACTGAAACAGCTGTTCCAGCTAAAAGATGCAGAACACTAGCTAAAACAAAAGGCACACTAGCATGCAGAGTCAAAATACTAGCTGAAGAAAGAAAATGCTTCCCAAGAGCCAAAAATAGCAATATGCTAGCTAAAAGCTAAATGTAGTCAAATTTTAGCTAAGAGATGAAAATAGTTAAAATTAGCAAAAGTTTAGGTAAACGTAGTAGAAAAGTTAGCTTAATGCTAAATGTATCAAAGGCTAACTAACAGCTAAAAAAACATTTAAATTAGCGAAATTAATTGCTAAAAGTAGCAGAAAAGTTAGCTTAATGTTAAATGTATCAAAGGCTAACTAACAGCTAAAAACATATTTAAATTAGCTAAATTATTTGCTAAAAGTAGCAGAAAAGTTAGCTTAATGCTAAATGTATTAAAGGCTAGCTAACAGCTAAAAACCCATTTAAATTGGCAAAATTATCTGCTAAAGGTAGCAGAAAAGTTAGCTTAACGCTAAATGTATCAAAGGCTAACTAAGAGCTAAAAACATTTAAATTAGCAAAATTATTTGCTAAAAGTAGCAGAAAAGTTAGCTTAACGCTAATTGTATCAAAGGCTAGCTAACAGCTAAAAAACATTTAAATTAGCAAAATTATTTGCTAAAAGTAGCAGAAAAGTTAGTAGTCAAATGCTAGCTAAGAGCTAAAAATAGGTCAAATTGCTAAAAGTAGCAGAAAAGTTAGTTTATTGCTACATGTAGCCATAGGTAGCAAAAATATTAGCCAAATGCTAAAAGTAGCTAAATGCAAACTATAAAGTTATTTAGGTTTATCAAAAATTGTTGAAGGCTAAATTTAGCACAAACATAGCCAAAAGCTTAATGGTAAAAATGTGATGTAAAAGGTCAAAGTAGCTAAAGGCAAGCTGAAAGTAGTTATAAAGTGTAGCTAAAAGTGGTATGAGTTAAGCTAAAAAACTTAAAGAGGCAAAGGAAGTGAAAGGTTTGGTAAAAGCAGAACAGTAGCTAAAAGCAGCACATGAAGACAGAAACAGTTTGCAGTCAGTCAGTTTGCAAAAGCAGATTTTAAATTTTTTGATGTACCTAAAGAGATTAGTGTATTTCTATAGGAAAATATTTATAAGTATTTTGAAAAATATAAAAGTTATAAAAAAACAACTAAAGTGACAGCATCTATATCCTGAATGAGCCGAATGTTTTGTTGTATTAACAGCTAAAACAGCACCAAGTATGCAGAAGTAAAAGCAATATGCTGACTCAGGAGTCTGAGATGATCCTAATCTAGATAAATCTTTTACTGAAAAAGAGTTTGATTTTGTTTTTGTAGCACGACGTTCACCCCGTCCGACAAGCTGCAGGTCATCCAGCTCACCTTCGAGGAGATCACGCAGGAGGTGCAGTCGCTGCTGAAGCAGGACTTCCTGTGGTCCATGGACGACCTGTTTCCTGTCTTCCTCTACGTGGTGCTGCGCGCTCGGTCAGCCGCTGACGCAATACACTCACACAAACAGCAAGCAGAATAAAGAGAGAAATAACAGAAAAAAGATGTCATCAGAGGATTAAAAATGGTTTTGCTGTAATTTGACAATGATGCAGGACCTCCAAACATGGAACAAAAAATAACAGAACCATTGAAGGTTTGTTACAAAAGTTTGGAGTCATCCCTTATGTTTTAATATTACTTTGAGGACATGATGGGGATGACTCTCAGCTACTACCACACCAGATTTTAGCTCAATATCTAAAAAACTGACTATTTTCTGCTTTTAGCCAAATTTAAAGGAACAAGAATTTCTTGAACTTTGTTAAATCTGTTCTGTTTTCCTTCCAGGATCAGGAACCTGGGGTCAGAGGTCAGCCTGATTGAAGACCTGATGGATCCTTGTGTTCAGCACGGTGAGCACGGCATCATGTTCACCACCTTAAAGGTAACTAACACACAAACCCACACACACACACACACTCAACACCCTGTCCCCCACTCATCCTCTGATGTCTTCATGTCCACCTGCAGGCCTGTTACTACCAGATCCAACATGAGAAGGTCACATAGGACCTGGTTCTCCTTGTTCCCACTGCCTGACCCGCTGACGGGGGGATCTTCTGGAGTTGTCATGGAGACGGGATCCAATCGTTTTTACATCACAGCATCCTGATGTGGCCGGAGTCAGGAAAACCTGTGACGGTTAAACAGACGATCATAGCTTGGTTCAGAGTTCTGCTGTTCAACAACACCGGCTCTTTTCTTCCTCCAGGAGGATTCCTTTAATACCTCTTCGTCATTTGAGATGAACTCTTTTTTTCTGTTGAAGTTTTATGTCATTGTCTTGTGACGGGTTCTTTACTGCCCCCTGGTGGTTTTACTGAGACGGGTCTGTTTACCGACAGGAATGAAACCAAACTGTGATGTCAATGTGCCATTAGGTTGAGTGCATGGTGAATACATACTAAGCTGAGCAAACAAGTATGGCAGGTTGTTTTACTATCTAATCAAATCACAGCCCTGTCTTTGTTTATCCTGTTGGATCTTATTAATTATATTCCTAATAATAAAATCACATTTTCAATTAGATATTTAAATTTAAGAGCCACAGTTGCAGCTGTACTATTTAAATTTTAAGTTGAAAATATCCTTAAAAAGTTTATTTCCCTGTTTAAATGAAAACTTGAATATTTACTGCAGAAATTATGTTGGTTGTATAAAACCTTTAACTGCCTTCTTAATTGGAATGATTTGTGACTAGAAGAAATTATTTTAAAATCTAAAATAGTAAACAGAGACAGGAAAATGTTTTGTTTATATAGTAAAACAACTTGCCATACTTTGCCATCTGGAGTCTGAGCCCACCATGTCTTCAGCTTATTGTCACCATTGCTCCTACATCAAAACATAGTAATCACAGCATGAAGGTATTACCCCATTAAAAACTTTTTATTCCTTATTTTAAAAAATATCCTGAACATGGCTCTTTGTGCCAACGTGAACCTTCAGAATTATAAATGCACTCATGTACATACATGTAAAATTTAAAAAGTGCTCTGACCTGTTTGGTATAAATACATTTTACTCTTGTCGTGTTGCAGCAAAAATCTTGCTCCGCCCTCGAAGACAGACTCCAACAAGTGACGGAAGAAACTAAATTTATTGTTTATTAGAAGAAATTTAAAGCATCACTGTGTTTTTATAAAACAAACTGTTACTAAATGTGTTTGACTGTGACTCTGGCTGGAAAAATGTGATCTGGCTCGAAGGACTTTTCACCTCAAATGGACTTGAAATCTCTCTTCAGCTGAAATATCTCAACGGCAGAAAAATTATTTTGTCTTTGAAAAGTTGGGAAGCTATTCGACAATCTGAGCCTTGTTTTAAATTCTAGAACTGCAAGCTAGAGAAGAATTCCAAACATATTTATTTTCTAATAGATTAAAAATTGCTCATAAAAAGTTGATCATTTACACAATTTAAGGCTGAGAAAGTGCATTCCTTAATCCACTAAAGCAGATAAAATATCTATTGCATCCAAGAAAAAAACTAATTAAACCTAAAGATAATATGTAAAAACAAAAAACCTCCATCTGCTGAAATGAAGCCGATATCTCTGGAGGTCTAACTGTTTTTCTCCTGTTTGATTTGCTTTATTTAAAAAGCTCTTATTTCCTTTAAATGAAGCTGATATCAGAAAACTGACAGTTCCTTTTGTCTGTAAATGTTTACCTTGTTGAGTCTTATTTTTTTGTCAAAACTTTCTCAGTTCTTAATAACAAAAGTCTAATAAATGTGACGAACAGCTGCTGTAACAGCTGTGAGTTGCTTCAACACTTGGCTGAGTTCTAGTTCTTTTATCACTTACAACTAGTGATGTTGGGTACCACCCAGTATCTACACTGAGACTTTGTGCAAACCTACATAATGTGTCTTGTAAATCTAAAAAAGCAGTGTATTTCAAATCACTACTCCACAAAGAATACAAGGCAGCAGAGTAATGGATTTTATTCATTTTAAGCTCAGAAGCGGCGTGCTTGTGTACAATATAGTCAAGCTAATACGACAGAAACCAACCAGGATACGTTCATACAAAATATGAAATAATAAAAAAAAAAGAAATAATATAATAAAACAATTAAAATAGACTCTAATTTTCAAGAACTACTATGAAAATTAAAACTTTCATTTTCATTTGTCACATGAACATGTAACAGCTACAGACTGAGCGTGTGCTTCTACATCACCCAGGTGGAACAAGTAGTTCCCACCAAAAAGAAAAAAATTGTGTAGGTTTTCTGGACGGGTTCTTCTCTAATGAAACGTTTCGTCTCTCCTCCAAGAGACTTCTTCAGTCTGAGAGTTTCA